TTCTCTGCCTTCAGTATCACCAACCACCAATTCCCTCAAATAACCAATGTGTTTCATTTCCTCTCTTTCATGCCCTCACACACACACACACACACACACACACACACACACCCCTAATTGGTCATACTCATTCCCCCTTCAGATTCTCACAAATACTTCCTTCTTCTGATCCTCCTGCCCCCACCCCAGCTCAGATGGTCATTATCCATCACTTGAACTAATACAATCTTCTTGCCTCTCTACATTTGTTCATTCAATAGTTCAATAAACATTCATTTGCAAGCTATGTTGAACCCTGCTCTAGCCTCTCTCTGTCCTACCAGCAGAACCTTCTACTGCTTCCGGTTATGTTTCTGAAGTTCAGATCTGACCTGTTCCTTTCCTTGCTTTAAAATCTCTGAAGAGGATCAAGTACAAATCTGTTAGCATGGCTCCTCATGTCTGGACCTCCACTTCCTGCTCACACTCCCATCTAGGCATCTCTTTCATCCCCACCGCAGGCACCCTCTACTCCCAGATCTTGGAGGGAGGTCTTGACGGCAGACACAGAGAGAACTCTTTCACACTTTAGAACAAAATCTATGGGCTTTTTACCAAGTCTCTTTGCTATTATTGAATTAAGTAATGGTTAGAGCCATTATACAAAAACTTGAAAGCAAATAACACTTTTTAATATGATGCTTTTAGAGAACCACTTTTTAAGGAGTGGCTTCCAGATGCATTCCTCATCCCCTGGCAAACCAGGTATCCTCCTACCTCTCTACTCAATTGAACAGCTACTCTCTCCTGGGGTGGGGGTGGGGATGGGGTTGTCTGAGTCACCATTGGCCTGCTCACCATTGACAGGGGGCTCAAGAGCAGGGCCCACTTCTGCTTGGGGGGGGGTGACATTATGTCATATTTAGATGTGTAATTTTTTAACCCTTAATCTTAGAGCCTTCTGCTGATGTCCCATAATGAAAAGTTTGATTTGAAAATGGGGATTAGAGATGAAGAGAGAAATTTGGAATATATGTGTATGTAATTATGTGTACATAATCCCCACTCTAATGCCTTAAATCAGAAAGACCAGAAATAGTCATTGATAATTCCAGGACATATGTCACATCTCTTCATTTTCTAATCAACCTTCTGCTCTACACCATGAAAAGACCTAGATAACACCTTAGCCTTGAGCTGCCAATGGGTTCATCCAACTGCAGAATGGGACACTGGGTCCTAGCTGGTTTGGCTCAGTGGATACAGCGTCAACCTGTGGACTGAAAACTCACGTCACTGCACATGCCTGGGTTTCGGGCTTGATCCCCCATAGGAGGTGTGCAGGAGGCAGCCGACCAATGATTCTCTCTCATCATTGATGTTTTTATCTCTCTCTCCTTCTCACTTCCTCTCTGAAATCAACAAAACTATAATAATTTTAAAAAAAGAAGAATGGGACACTGGAACTGCTTTGAACCGGACCATCTATCCTCATGAGGGAACCTGTTCTCTCTACCAACAGGAAAGGGAGTAGTTTGAAAAGAGAAGAAAAGACGGGGACAAGAGGAATTATTCCACGTTGAACACTCCATGTAGAGGGCTGGACACCTACAGCTCTGCCCTTCCTGTGATGACTCAGTCACTGGGAAGGGTATAGTGGCTGGGAGAAAGACCAACAGTCCCTGCAGGTCAGTTACCCTAGCCATGCTCCTAAGTGTCTAGTTGTATTAAACAGGCAAACTAGGAAATCCTCTTACCCAGGCTACCTCCGGAGTCAGGCGTCTTACCCAGCAGAGATGCACTGAACACTGCTATGCGCCAGCATTTTTCTGAGTCGGGTACAGTAACGCACAAGATAGACAAATATGCTGGTCCTCGTGGGGCACACATTTCAGTGTGTGTAGAGGTGTGTGGGGTGGGGGTCAGACACAGAAAAATAAATAAGTAAAAGACACGGAAATTCCAAGGTATGGATAAAGCAAGGAGCCAGCCTGGGGAGTGTGAGGGGAACGGACAGATGTTTTTAAATAGGGTTGTTGGCCTCACTGAGAAGAAAAGACATTTGAAGAAATATGTGCAGGAAGTCAGGGAACAAGAACCCCCCGCCCCCCGCTCATTTGTGCAGTTTTTGCTGCAAATATCTGAGCTACATTTCCGAAAGAAAAATGGCGTGTTCTCTCTACCAACAGGAAACGGGGCAGTATGAAAAGAGAAGAAAAGACCAGGACAAGAGAAATTATTCCATGTTGAACACTCCCTGATGGACACTTGAAAACCAGCTCTGAGAGCAGAGCTGGGCCCACCAGGCAGAGGGGTCCCGGGGCCCCTCTCCCGGGCTGTCAGACTAATCCCGCCGCTTACCCCCCACCCCTCTCTAGGGGGCTTTGCTCTGGCGACTGTAATTCAAACCGCGCCGAAAACCGCCGCCGGGGAGGAGCTTTGTACAGGACACCAGTTCAGCCTCCCTAGGGTACTTGTCCTTTCCAGCCTCCGGCCTCACTCCCCACAGCCCTCTCGCAGGCGCCGTTCCGCCGGCCCGGGTCTCTCCCGCGCCGAGTCGCCCAACAAACCATTTAAACATTTCAGCCCAAAACCGATCCATTGTGGGCCGCACATTTAAAAGTGTTATTCGCTTTGAAGTTTTTGTCTAATGGCTCTAAACTGAAAGAAAATGTTTTCCTATTACTTAATTCAATCATAGCGGAGAAACTTGGTAAAAAGCCCACGGATTTTGCCCCAAAGTGTGACAGAGTTCTCTTTGTGTGCGCTTATCCTCCGCTGTCACACACTTTAATTCGCTTCTCTTTATCTGGCATTCAAAACTTTCTTCAATGACATTCAATAAGGTCCTGAGGCTGGAGGGAAAAAAAAAAACCTGGTTATTCCGCCTCCCCCCCCCCATATTCTTTGGCCTTGCTCGCTTTCAGGGGCTCTTAACCCTTTCTTCCCCAGGCGCGGGCGGCAGCTCCCGGGAGAACTGGGCTCCTGACTCGGGGTGCAGCGGTGGTCCCTTTCAGTCCTCTGGGGCCGCCCGCACCCCACGCCTCTTCAATCCGCCTCTGCCCAGCCCGGAGGCCTCTCCCAGCCGGTCCACGCTCCGGGCTCTCAGTCTCAGTGGCCCAGACCAGCCCAAATTTCCCCGAGAGCAATTAGAACCGGCACGAGGCTTCGCGGGTGCACTCGGTCTGGTTTACAAGCGCCACCCTGAAGCGTGGAGCAGACAATGGCGCTGGGGGCAACAGTGACCTCCGCGCCCCCGCCCCCTCCAAAGAGAGGCTTTGCTCCCTTACTCTCCCGCTGGGTGACAGGTTATTTTCCCCACTGCCCTTCTCCCTTTCTAGAATCAGTTCTTTTCTCACAAACCCACTGCTTTTTAATCAGTTCTAATTTGTTGCTGTGGTTATTGAAAGATGTCATCGGTGATGAGAATCCATGTGCACGCCTTGGTTCGGGGCTGTCCCCTTCTCTTGCGCGGATTCCCTCTCCGTTTCTCACAATTCTGTTCAGGGAGCAGGTGACTGCAGCGACTTGGTTCCAATAAAATCGAAAGTAAACGTCTTCCGCGGAAAGCCCCGGCTGTAAATTCGAAATATTTATGCTAATTTCCCATTGTATGGAAAAGGCTCCTGCTCAAAGCTTTGAGCCCGCTGATGATTTAAAAAGCGAACGCTGTGTACACAGCGCTAAGCGTTTGAAGTTGTTTAACCATTGTGTGGCCAGAAAGTCTGGGGGAGAGCGGAGCTCGGTGGGGGTGGACCAGGGCAACAGAAGCTGAAACTACAACTCCCTCTTGCGCGCTCCTGCCAGCGCATCCAGGAGTCTATGGAGTGTGCATGAGTGGAGAGGGCGCCAGCCGAAAGTCCACACTGGCAGGGGGGCGGTGTGGGGGGCGGCTGCAAGACCTCCTTTCGTGGTCTAGGCTCTTATTTCCCATCCCTTGTCTCTGGCCAGTGACTCTCAGAGGCTGATTCCCTCTTTACATCCACGGCCCTGGCCCTGACGAAAGTGCTGATGGATAAGCATCTACCGAACAAAGACTGGGCGTTATAGACAGCATCAAACTTAGAGAAAGTGGGACCGCGATGGGGCTAGTGCTAGGGAAGGAATACCAAGTCCTTTTCCTTTTGCCCAGCGGAGCCCGGGTCCTCCTGCTTCCAGACGCAGGGAGGGAAAG